CTTGTTAGATATTAGAATAGCCACACCTGCTTGCTTTTTGGGCCCATTTGATTGGAAGATCTTTCCCCAGCCCTTTACCCTGAGGTAATGTCTATCTTTGAAGCTTAGATGTGTTTCCTGTATGCAGGAGAAGGATGGATTTTGTCTTCATATCCAATCTGTTAGCCTGTGCCTTTTTATAGGTGAGTTAAGACCATTAATGTTGAGGGTGAGTAAGGACCATTGATTGTTAATGCTTGTTTGTTTGTAATTGGTTGTTGGCAGTGGTAAAGTGAATATATTTGTCCTGTTTTACCCTTGGGTTTTGGTGAAGTGGGATTATCTATTGCCTATGTCTTTGTGAGCGTAGTTAACTTCCTAGGGTTGGAGTTTTTTTCCCAATACTTTCTGTAGGGCTGAATTTGTAGGTATGTAGGTACATAGGTGATAATCTGGATTTGTCATTTAATATCTTGTTTTCTCCATCTATAGTGATTGAGAGTTTTGCTGGGTATAGTAGCCTGGGCTGGCATCTGTGGACTCTTAGTGTTTGTAGAACATCTATCCAGAACCTTCTGGCCTTGAGAGTTTCCATGGAGAAGTCAGGTGTAATTTTGATAGGTCTGCCTTTATATGTTACCTGTCGTTTTTCCTTTACTGCTCTTAGTATTCTTTCTTTATTCTGTATGTTAGGTCTTTGATTATTATGTGTTGAGGGTTTTTTTTCCTTTGGTCTAGTCTATTTGGTGTTTGGTATGCTTTTTGTACTTTCATGGGCATGTCCTTCTTCAGATTGGGAAAGTTTTCCTCAATGATTTTGTTGAATATATTTTCTACACCTTTGAGCTGGTCTTTTTCACCTTCCTGTATGCATATTATTCTTAGGTTTGGCCTTTTCACGGTGTCCCCCATTTCCTGGATGTTTTGTGTTAAAGATTTTTTTGGATTTACGATTTTCTTTGGTTGATGAATCTATTTCCTGTAGTTTATCTTCTGCGGTTGAGATTTTGTCTTTGATCTCTTGTATTCTGTTGGTTATTATGCTTGTGTCTGTAGCTCCTGATCGTTTGCCCAGTTTTTCTATTTCCAGAATTCCCCCAGTTTGTGTTTTCTTTATTGTCTCTATTTCAGTTTTCAAGTCTTGAACTGTTTCCTTCACCTGTTTAATTGTTTTTTCTTGGCTTTCTCTACTTAAAGAAATTTTTTCATTTCTTCAATTTTTTTGTTTGTTTTTTCTTCCATTTCTTTAAGAGATTTTCTCACATCATCTTTGAGGGCCTCTATCATTTTTATGAGAATAATTTTTAAGTTGCTCTCTTCTGATTCATCTGCTTTGGGGTGTTCAGGTCTATTTGGAATAGAGTCCCTAGATTCTGGTGGTGTTTTGCTTGTCTTTCTATTGTTAAGTGTTTTCTTATATTGCTGACTTCCTATTGCTTCTTCCAGTAGGTTTAGGTGGTCGGTCTTTCTTTATCTCTCCCTCTCTCTCTTTTCCTCTCTCTCTCTCACATAAGGTGGGCTTATGTGGGTCAGAGGTTTGATGTCTGTAGCTCTGGGTAGTCCAAGCTGCCTAGGAGGTTTCTCCTCAGGCAGGAGCCCAGTGATGGGGGTCAAAGATCAGGCTCCAGTAGAAGTCAGTGATGGGGTCAAAGATCTCTAAGGCTGGGACTCAGGATATTCTGCGTGCACATAGGCAGATCTAGCCTGGGCCTGGTATTCTCCAGCTGAGGCCTCTTTAGCTGAGGCAAGGTGATGGGGGCCAAGGATCCAGTCCATAGGAACTCAGAGTGGCCCAGTGGGGATAGGCGTATCTCTGGGAGGGGCCTGAAACTCCAGTAGGGGTCAGTGGTGGGTGTCAGAGAACAGGCAGGTGGAAATTACGTGTTGTTCCGCGTGGATAGGTAAGTCTAGTGTGCTCAGAGCAGCTCCAGCAGGTTCCCCAAAAGTGGCAGGATTGTTGGCTCCACCTTCTGTCCCAGTGCTCAACCAGAGCAGTGGGACAGTGGGTAGGGTAGGGCACAGGGTAGGGGAAGGGCAGTCTCTTGGTGAGGTGAGTGGGTTTGTATCAGAGCTCCTAGAGTGCTCTCAACGGGGACAGGACACAGGGGCAGTGAGATCTGGGGCCAACACAGGGAATTCCCAGGGAAGGGTTGGGGTATTCCACCTGACTTGGTCCCAGACTCACCTCTAGGCGAGGCCTGGAGCTGGGGGTCAAAGACGATGGGGGTCAAAGACTGGGCTAATACTCAGGATGTTTCTGCACAGATAGGTGGATCTAGCTGTGGCCTGGCACTCTCCAGCTGAGGCCTCTTTAGCAGAGGCCCAGCTATGGGGGTCAAGGATCCAGCCCGCAGGAACTCACAGTCTCGATTGGAAGTTTAATCAACACTTTACGCTGAGGATAAGTGTTTCTTTTAGGTTGTAGATTGTTTCTTGTATGCAACAGAAGCATGGGTCCTGTTTTCATATCCGTTCTTTTAGCTGTGTCTTTTTATTGGCCAATTGAGCCCATTTATATTAATAAATATTAATTAACAGTGATAGTTTTTTTTTTGACCAGTGATTGTTAATTCCTGATACATTTGGTTTTGTGGTTGGTGGTAGTGTGTATGTTTCCTTTCTTTGGTGTTTGCTGATGTCAGGTTATCTATTGCTTCTTTTTCCATTGGTGCAGCTAACTTCCTTGGGTTTGGAGTTTTCCTTCTAGTACTTTTTATAGCTCTGGGTTTGTGAATAGACATTGTTTAAATCTGGTTTTGTCATGGAATATTTTGTTTTCTCAATTTTTGGTGACTGAAATCTTTGCTCGGGATAGTAGTCTGGACCTTTTGGTTTTCAGAGTTTTCATTCAGAAGTGGGGTGTAATTCTGATAGGTTTGCTTTTATGTTACTGGCCTTCTTTTTTCTTTGCAGCTCGTAGTATTCTTTATTTTGTATGTTTAGTGTTTTGATTATGCATTGGTGAGGTGACTTTTTTTTTTCATCCAGGCTTTTGGTGTTCTTTAAGCTTCTTGTACCTTCATAGGTATATCCTTCTTTGGACGGGGAACTTTTTCTTCTATGATTTTGTTGAATATATTTTCTGTTCCTTTGAGCTGGAATTCTTCTCCTTCTTCTATACCTATTATTATTAGGTTTGAGAATTTCTGGGTGTACAAGATTTCCTGTACCATTTGTTGGATTTACCATTTTTTTTTGACAGATGTTACTAGCTCCTCTATTGTATCTTCAATGCCTGAGATTCTCTCTTTCTTCTCTTGCATTCTGTAGATTATGCTTGCATCTGCAGTTCCTGTTTGTTACTCAGATTTTTCATTTCTTGAATTGCCTTGGTTTGTGTTTTACTGCCTCTATTTACTGCTTCAATTTTCATGTCTTAGACTGTTTCATTCACACTATTTTTTATTGGTTTTTCTTAGCTTTTAAAAAGCAATTTATTGATTTCTTCAAATGTTTTGTTTGTCTTTTCCTTGATTCCTTAAATGGAATTTTTTATTTCCTCTTTAAGAACCTCTATCATCTTCATAAATGCGTTTTAATGGTATTTTCTTCTGCTTTGTCTATGTTGGGATGCTCAGGTCTTGGGGTTGTGGAATCACTTTTTTTTTGGTTGTTGTTCCCATATTTCTCTTTATGTTGTTGAATATATTCTTACATTGCCATGTGCCTGTCTCTTCATCTAAGTGGGTAGATGAGACCTGTGGCTCCAGGATTCACTCTTCCTCCATTTGGAGCAGGTGGGGTATTTGGTTCTGGTGGTTGTACCTACTCCAAGTGCCCATGTGGCCTGTGACTCTTGTGGTACTGATGTGGTGGGTGATGGTTCTGGGATGCTGAGAGGATGCTGCTGCCTGGTCATTGGGGCTTTGTTAGATGGATTGGGGCATGGGATATGCCCACAAGGCCCTGTAAGATATGCCCAGTGATATGTTTTTGTACCTGCATAGGCAAATCCTATGGGCTTTCCAGGTGCGAGCTCAGGAATTCGCCTCTTCATGTGTAGGTGGGTCCTGTATCTCCCTTGGTTGTGTTGTGGCAGGGAATGATGGTTTGGTGGAAAGGAGGAAGTATGCTGATGCCTGGTTACTGGGTCTGTGGGGTCAGGGCATGGGATGTGCCATGGGAAAGGAGTTAGATACTAGGGCACTTGCCTCTTCCTTCAGGTGGAGGTAGGGAATCAATGAAGTATTTATTAATATCCAGTCAATATCCATGTGGAAACAAAATATTCAAACCAAGAGAAATTTATGAATAAAAGTGAGTGTGTATCTTACATTTGTGTCCACCATCATTAGAAAACATTATGTTCTCAAAATTTAATTCCATGATATATTGGAAATGAAGAAATATTTTTGAGAAGCCATGTAAGGACTGAATTAGTTTTGGTAATGTAATTTAATATTCTTATTAATAAAAATATAAGTTTTAAAAATATTACAATATATTAACAAAATATTTCAGTAAAAACAGAGGTAAACATTAAGGTAGTTTGAAATACAGCTGAAGAAATATGATGTCTTTGGCATTATCTTTATTAACTTAGCAAAAGGTAAATTTATATAACAAGAGGGAACCACAATTTAGAAAATGACTCTCATAACTGGCCTGCACACAAGCTTCTTGGGAATATTCATGATTATTGATTGCTGTGGGTTAGATGATACCACTGTGTGTGTGGCCACATCTGAAAATGTGATTCTGAAGTGTATAACAAAGCAGGTTAAACAAGATATAAAAGCATAGTCAGGAAATATCTCAGTTCTAGTTCTTGAATACTTATTACACTTTGAACTTTAATGTGAAGAATTCCTTTATTCCCCAAGTTACTTTTGGTGTAGGAGTCTTGATCGAAGAAGAAACTCTAACTTGTGAGATTATTCACTTCCAGTATTAATTTATTTTTGACTAAACTAACAAGGGAATATGGTTGTGATAACAATTCTATGAGATGGTACTATGAAATAGGTTTGGATAAAGAGAAAAACTGAGCATGCATTCATGATCAACTCCATTTCTACCAGGTATGGATCAGTGTGTGAAGTGTCCAGAAACTCATTATGCAAATTCAGAGAGGAGGTACTGCCTCCCGAAAACTGTGACCTTTCTGACTTATGATGATCCTGTGGGGAAGGCACTTATAATCATGTCACTGGGATTCTCTGCACTCACAGTTGTTGTTATTGGGGTCTTTGTAAAGCACAGAGACACTCCAATTGTCAGGGCCAATAATAGATCTCTCAGTTACACCCTGCTCTTCACTCTCATGCTCTGTTTCCTCTGCCCCTTGAACTTCATTGGCATTCCCAACACAGCAACCTATGTCCTGCAGCAGAACTTATTTGAACTTCTCTTTACGGTAGTTCTCTCTACTGTGTTGGCCAAAACATTCATTGTAGTTATGGCATTCTACATTACTACTCCAGGGAGAACAAGGTGGCTATTGATATCACAGGCCTCTAATTTCATCATTCCAGTCTGCACTGTGTTGCAAGTACTTCTCTCTGGAATATGGCTGGGAATATCTCCTCCCTTTATTGACATGGATGTTCATTCTGAACATGGACACATCATCATTCTCTGCAACAAAGGTTCACCTTTTGCCTTCTACTGCAGTCTGGCATACCTGGGAGTCATGGCCTTTAGTAGCTACTTCATGGCTTTCTTGTGCAGGAACCTGCCAGACACATTTAATGAAGCCAAGTTCCTGTCTTTTACCATGCTTGTTTTCTGCAGTGTGTGGGTCATTTTCCTCCCTGTGTACCACAGCACCAAGAGGAAGGTCATGGTGTCGATGGAGGTCTTCTCTATCTTGACTTCCAGTGCAGGCATTTTTTGCCTAATCTTTGCCCCTAAGTGCTACATTATTTTGTTCAGGCCAGAGAGGAACTCAGTTCATCACATCAGGGACAAAAGAGATGGTAGAAACAAATGTACTTAAAGATTAGTCCACATGAATCTTGAATTAAACTGAATTGTGCTATATCTCTACAGTTCTAACAGTTACATTTAAGATTATAATATGATTTTCTAAACATGGCTCATTGGGTACAGCTTTTCCCCAACTAATGTAACATTCTGAGCTTTATTCCCTGAAACCATTTGGTAGAAGTAAAGAATCAATTTTCTGGGGGTGAAATCATCCATGTCTTCTTCCCAAAATAAAGAAACATATTTAATAAATCTTTTGAAAACTTCATAGTTTAAGTTGTGATTGTATGAGTTCTCATTGTTTTCACTAACCTAAGATATTACATTTTGCAGTTGAAATTTGTTAAATTTTGGAGCACCGATTCTATATGCACCAAAAATGCATTTAGCTTTCAGAGACTTTTTGTCTTCATTCTTGTTTCTGATTTACCTATTAGTAATTTAGAGGAGTGGTGTCTTTCCTTAATGGACCTCTGCTGTACTCTCAGTTCTGACCATGCAGTGTCTATCTGATGGTGTTAACTTCTGATACTTTCAGATGGTATACATTGCACACAGCATAATAGCAACTTTAAGCTTCATGATATAGTATTCATCACAAAGTTTCACATTTTCAAATCTTTCTGTTCCCTTTTCCCTCATTTTCACTGATATCCTGAAGTAGAGCAGTCAGTAGGAAAGTATAACCTGTCTAAGTGTGATCCTGTCTTCTAATTTCTCCTGTTAATCAAACAGTTCTTTAACTTTTAAGGTAAGCACGGCATGGGCCAATGACATTGCTTCAAGTTATGTGGAATATATGGCATTACTAAGTTGCCTAATAGAATTCTTGTTCCTTTGTCACCACACTGGCACTGCAACTCCACTCTAAGCTATTCTATCTCTACCCTCAGATCCTCCAGAATCCCACTAAAAGGTCCCTGTAATCTCTTGTCACCACATTCTAAAGCGTCATAGGTTCCTAGTCCTTTCTCTTCCACATTCTTTCTGTAAAGCAGAGAAAAATTAAAAAACAATGTACTCAAATTCATCCCAACAATAGCCCGATCTTCAGCTCTGATTTTCAGCATGAGTAACTTTTGTTATTCCTGTGACAAAATGAGTAACAAATCAATTCATGGGCGGGTTCTGTGGTAGACTGATTTCCATTTTCCTGAGGGACCACCATGCTAATCTCCAAAATGGCTGTATGAGTTTGCACTCCCACCAGCACTGGAGGAGTGTTCCCCTTTCTCCACATCCTCTCCAACATGAGTCATCATTGGTGTTTCTAATTTTAGCCATTCTGGCAGGAGTAAGATGGTATCTCAAAGTTGTTTTGATTTGCATTTCCCTGATAGCTAAGGATGTTGAACACTTTCTTAAATGTCTTTCAGCTTTTTGATTTCTTCTACTGAGAATTCTTTCTTCAGTTCTGTACCCCATTTTTAAATAGGGTTATTTGGTGTTTTGTTGACTAGCTTCTTGAGTTCTTCGTATATTTTGGAGATCAGCCCTTTGTCAGATATAGGATTGGTGAAAATCTTTTCCCAGTCTGTGGGCTGCTGTTTGGTCTTGTCAACTGTGTCCTTTGCCTTACAGAAGCTTCTAAGTTTGAGGAGGTCCCATTTATTAATTGTTGATCTCAGGGTCTGTGCTACTGGTGTTATGTTCAGAAAGTGGTTTCCTGTACCAATCTGTTCAAGGGTACTTCCCACTTTCTCTTCTAGATTCAGTGTGGCTGGATTGATGTTGAGGTCTTTGATCCATTTGGACTTGAGTTTTGTGCATGGCAACAGACATGGGTCTATCTGCAGTCTTCTACACACCCTCATCCAATTGTGCCAGCACCATTTGTTGAAGATGCTTTCTTCCTTCCATTGTATACTTTTAGCTGTTTTGTCAAAAATCAGGTGTTTGTCAGTGTGTGGGTTAATGTCAGAATTTTCAATTTGATTACATTGGTCTACCTGTCTATTTTTGTGCCTACCAAGCTGTTTTCAGGACTATAGCTTTATAGTAGAGCTTGAAGTCGGGGATGGTGATGCCTCCTGAAGTTCTTTTATTGTGTAGGGTTGTTTTGGCTATCCTGGGTCTTTTGTTTTTCCATATAAAGTTGAGTATTATCTTTTCACGGTCAGTGAAGAATTGTGGTGGTATTTTGATGGGGATTGCATTGAATCTGTAGATTGCTTTTGGCGAGATTGCCATTTTTTACTATGTTTATCCTACCTATCCAAGAGCATGGGTGATGTTTCCATTTTCTGGTATCTTTAATTTCTTTCTTTAAAGCCACAAAGTTCTTATTATATAGGTCTTTTACTTGTTTGGTAAGTGTTACCCCAAGATACTTTATGTTTCTTGTGGCTATTGTAAAGGGTGATGTTTCTCTGATTTCTTTGTCAGCCCCTTTGTCGTCTGTATATAGTAGGGCTACTGATTTTTTTGAGATTATCTTGTATTCAGCTAGCTTGCAGAAGGTGTTTATTAGCTGTAGGAGTTCCCTGATAGAGTTTATTGGGTCGCTTATGTAAACTATCATATTATCTGCAAATAGAGACAGTTTGACTTCTTCCTTTCCAATTTGGATCCCCTTGATCTCTTTTTGTTGTCTTATAGCTTTAGCTAGAACTTCCAGTACAATATTGAAGAGATATGGAGAGAGAGGGCAGCCTTGTCTTGTTCCTGATTTTAGAGGAATTGTCTTAAGCTTCTCTCCATTCAGTTTGATGTTGACAGTTGGTTTGCTGTATATTGCTCTTATTATGTTTAGGTATGTTCCTGTTATTCCTGATCTCTCCAAGACATTTATGATGAAAGGGTGTTGAATTTTGTCGAAGGCTTTTTCAGTATCTAAGGAGATGATCATGTAATTTTTCTTTTTCTGTTTGTTTATATGGTGGATCACGTTGATAGAGTTCTGTATGGTAAACCATCCCTGCAATCCAGGGCTGAAGCCTACTTGGTCATGGTGGATGATTTCTCTGATGTATTCTTGGATTCGGTTTGCCAGTATTTTATTGAGTATTTTTGCATCAATGTTAATGAGGGATATTGGTCTGTAGTTTTCTTTCTTAGTTGTGTCTTTGTGAGGCTTGGGTACCATGGTTATTGTGGCCTCGTAAAAAGAGTTTGGTAATAACCTTCTGTTTCTATTGTTTGGAACAATTTGAGGAGTATTGGTATGACTTCTTTGAATTTCTGGTAGAATTCTGCACTGAAGCCATGTGGCCCTGCGCTTTTTTTTTTTTTTTTTTTGGTTGGGAGGCTTAGGGGTTATAGGTCTATTTATGTTGCTTATCTGTTCTTGATTTAATTTTGGTAAGTGATAGTTATCCATAAATTTGTCCATTTCCTTTGAATTTCAATTTTTGTAGAGTACAGGTTTTCAAAGTATGACCTGCAACTTGTCTGGATTTCTGTGGTGTCCGTTGTTATGTCCCACTTTTCGTTTCTGATTTTGTTAATTTGCATGTTCTCTCTCTGGTTTTTGGTTAGTGTGGATAAAGTTTTGTCTGTCGTGTTGATTTTCTCAAAAAAATCAACTCTTTGTTACATTGATTTTTTTTTTTTGTTTTGTATTGTTTTCCTGGTTTCTACTTTATTGATTTCAGCCCTCAAGTTGATTATTTCCTGGCATCTACTCCTCCAGGGTGAGTTTGATTCTCTCTGTTCTAAGGCTTTCAGTTGTGCTGTCAATTTTCTAATGTGACCGTCCTCCCTTTTATTCATATGGACACTTAGTGCAATGAACTTTCCTTGTAGCACTGCTTTCAAATTGTCCCATAAGTTTGGGTATGTTGTGTCTTCATTCTCATTGAATTCTAGGAAATCTTTAATTTCCTCTCTCTCTCTCTCTCTCTCTCTCTCTCTCTCTCTCTTTCTCTCTCTCTCTCTCTCTCGATCCAGGAATGGGGCAACTGTGTATTGTTCAGTTTCCATGAGTTTGTAGGGTTTCTGTAATTTGCGTTGTTGTCAAATTCCAACTTCAGTCGATGGATGAATCTGTTTATAGTTTATCTGCAGCACCTGGGATTCTCTTTTCCATCCCTTGTATTTTCTTGGTTATGTTTGCATCTTTTGGTCCTGATCATTTACCCAGTTTTTCTATGTCCAGAATTCACTCAGTTTGTGTCTTCTATATTGTCTCTATTTCAACTTTTTCAGGTTTTGAACTGTTTGCATTGTTTCCTTCATCTGTTTGATTGATTGCTTTCTCTTGGCTTTCCTTGCTTTCTTTAATCGACTTGTTTATTTCTTGCAAGTTTTGTTAGTTTTTTTTCTTCCATAACTTTAAGGTTTTTTTTTTTGTTATATCCTCTTTGAGGGCCTCTATAATTTTCATGAAGTTTTTAAAAGGTCATTCTCTTCTGCTTCATCTGCATTGGGATGTTCAGGTCTTGCTGGAGTAGAATCCCTAGACTCTGGTGGTGTCATATAAGTCTTTCTGTTGTTGGGTTGTTCTTATACTGTCATCTTCCTATCTCTTCTTCCAGTGAGTACAGAAGAAGGGGTTTCTCCTTCTTCTGGTGAGTTTGGGTTCAAGGCTCTATCCTCTCTTCCTCCCAGAGGGTGCAAGAGCAAGACAGGAATGGCCAGCAATGCTGGATGCTTTGTTCTTCTTCCAAGTCTCTCTGTCTGTCTGTCTACCAGAGAATGCAGGGGCAAGGCCGGAAGTTTTTTCTGTCTCCTGCTCCCTCTTAGGGATTTTGTGGCAAGAAGGATCTGACCACCACAGGTTAGGGAACTCAAAGAGGCAGAGATAGGCTGGAGGATCCTCTGTTACTCACCTTTCTACCAGAGTGTAGAGGGGCAAGCCAGGAATGGCAGCTGATGGAGGATGCTTTGTTCTGCCTCCAGTTCCCTCTGGGGGATTTGGTGGCAGGAAGTGTCTGAATGCCGCAGGCCAGGGGACTCAAAGAGCAAAACTCTCATGATTTTAAACTATATTATTGCGTATATTTCTCATTACTGGGAATTTGGCTGTGCTCTGTAAATTGTCTTATGAAAATTCTTAGTTAAATTCTAAAA